CCGGGCCCTTGCCTGCCAGCAGGAGGGCGGCTGAGCCCTGGGAAGGGGGGCGCCCCTCTGCATCTCTGTAACGGGGTGAGGGTGCCCTGGGGAGGAGGACGAGGGGCAAGCCGGGGCGCCCAGAGAACTCAACCCCCATCACTCGCCCATCAGGCCACCCTGCAGGGACACACACACACACAAACGCTCCCACCCACCCCCCAAAAAGGACACGTACAAAAGGATGAAGCAGCTGATGATAAAAGGGTGGAAGGAAGGAAGGAAGGAAGGAAGGAAGGAAAAAGGGATAGAAGGACCGAAGGAGCAAATCGATGGCAGGATGGAAGGAAGGGGGGAGGGAAGGAGGGAGCAAGAAAGAAAGATCTATGGAAGGAAGGAGTTGATAATGAATAAATCAAAAGAATAAGGAAGGAAGGAGCAAGAAAAAGCGCTTATGAATAGAAGGAAGGTGGGAAATAATGAAATTAAGAAACGATGGAACGAAGAAATGAAAGAATTAAGGAAGTAGCTAATCTTGAATATAATGAACAAATGAAAGTAGAAACAGAAATGGAAGAGCTGATGCTGAATCAATGGAAGGAAGGAAGGAAGGAAGGAAGGAAGGAAGGAAGGAAGGAAGGAAGGAGGGAAAGGAAAGGAAAGGAAAAAGGAAGGAAGGAAGGAAGGAAAGGAGAGGAGAGGAGAGGAGAGGGATAGAATCAGGGAATATAGAAAGAAAGATGGAAATAAGGTTAAACAGGAAGGTAGGTTTTATGATTGTGAGAAAAAAGGAAGGAAGGAAATAAAGAGGAACCCAAGAAGACCGAAAGGGACGGTGAAGGAATGGAGAGAGAGGGACAGGGGCAATCGGAGAGTGGTGTGGAAAAAATAAGGAGTTTTAAGAAGGGAAGGTGAATCCAAGAGACCAGGAGGGGAAACAGAGGAAGGAAGGAAGGCCAAGGGATGACTGGGGGAAGGAAGGCTGGGCCCTCCGACTTGCTCCAGACGGGGCTGGCCAGCCCCCTATCCACCACATGTGGGGGGGGGAGGTGTTTTTTCCTCAATTAGTGTGCCAGCATGATATGAGGGGTGTTTGTGTGTGTGTCTTTGTGTACCTCCCTACATTTCTTTTTACCTTCTTTTCTTCGCCCTCCCTCCTCACCCATGTTTTTTGTTAAGAGGATCCTGCCCTGTTTGACGCACCACGATGATTGACTGGGTGACTTTTCCCCACCAAACAAAACCAACCAACCTTGAGAATTCCCTGCACCTAGAATGCTAGCCCTGCAGGGAGGGAGGGAGAGACTGAGAGAGAGATCACCCTGGCTGCTATTCTGCTTCAGGTGTTGAATCTACGTTTCTCAAGAGAGTGAGGGAAACTGAAGAGGAAGGATTACTGTGAGACACTGTGGTGGGGTGGAGGTCTCTCTGGCTGTGTAGCCAGAGGTTGGGAGTTCAAATCTCCCTGGTCCCTCCTTGAAAGGGGCTGGACCGGATGATCCTGAGGAGTCCCTTTCCAGCTCTGCAGGTCTAGGCACTGCACTTACCGCACCGTTTTGCACCGATGCGCCTCCGGCCAGGCTTTTTACCCTCTGAGCAGAATGGGTGAAGGATTCTACCAGGCCGGACTGCCAGGAGTGAAAAATCCTGAGCTGCAGTTCAAAACTGACAGGGTGTGGGCCGGGGGGGGGGAGCACTCTGCGTATGCCCCGGAGCATCATCTTGGAGCAAGCTCTTGGTTGGGAAGGCAGAGCGCTTCGAAAGCCAGGAGAAGGACTGAATGGGGAGGAGAGAGACAAGAGGGGCTGCCTGTCAGGGTCGGTGTTCTGAGAATAAAAAATCAGGAAAAAAATGCATCCCCGAAGGCGAAGCGCTTGGAGGAGAGGAAGCGAGAATCTCATGGCTCTCCATCACGCTGTGATGCAAGCGTTTCATCTCCATGGTGACACGGGAGGAAGAACCGAGACATTGCGTTTCCCTTCTCTTTACTTTTTCTCGCTCTTTTCTCTTTTTTTTCTTTTGCACACAATGCAGCCAAGCAATCTTTTGCATCCCACCCACCCCCAGGGTTCAAGAAAATCCCCACGTTTGGTTTGCATCAGACAGAGAAAAAGGCGTGTATAATCAGAGATCTTAGTCCTGTTTAGGAAGCTGACAAAAGCCGTTTTTTTTCCCCAGACGGCTCGTGGCCAGGAGCTTCAATGAGGGTAGACTGCTCCTGGGCAAGGAGGTTCTATTCGGCCCTCACGCCTCTCTCACTGCTCCTCTACCAGCACCATCCAAAAACAACTGCAGATTAAACAGGATTCAATGTTTCCTGTTTGGTTTCCTGAACCCCAACCCCACCCACCCCTTCCCAAATTGAACAACTACAACTCAAAAAACAGATTCTGCAGAGACCAGAAAACGCACACCAAAGTAAAAATAAATTGGAAAATGAAGAGTCGGGGGTTGTGGTGTCCAACCTTGGGCCTCCAGATGTTTTTGGACTTCAACTCCCAGAAATCCTGGCCAGCAGAGGTGGTGGTGAAGGCTTCTGGGAGCTGTAGTCTAAGAACATCTGGAGGGCCAAGGTTGGACACCACTGGATCGGGGCTGGCACTCTGGAAATCAGGGTTCTAGTCCCTAAGGAAAGACGAAACCCACTGGGAGTCTTTAGATTGCTCTTTCTTGTTTTAGCCTACCTGGCAAGGCTGCTGTGCAGATAAAATAGGAGAGAAAAGAAGCAAGCAAGTGGGAGGGGGGAGCTCTTGGTGGCTTGGAGAGATCAGAAGACACTTCTTAAATGGCCTGGAAAACCCTCTTCTATACAGCATGGATAAAAACTGTATTCATGATTTATTGATTTAAAAATATGATTATCCCGCCTTTTTTCCCTCATAAAAGGACCCAAGGCGAATTGCATCAATAACACCTAAGAAAAGGGTGTCTGGTTTTCAGGTTAGGGAGCCCAGAACAGCTGTAGCTTCTTAGCATTTATTATTAT